AGAAGCAAGAATTAACCTCAATGACAGTGCTAGTAGCTCTGCAGTCTATTTTGGCCTGTTCTTTAAGTAAAAAGAGCAACCTAGATGAGAATTTTGTGCTCCACTGGATATTGAAAGATGAGGCAATAAACTGCTAAACTTGAGTAATCACACACTCCCAGAGGAATGCCTCAAATGGGGTTGGTCAAAAACCTTGAAATTCTAGCCTTCTGCACACTGCCTGGGCTTTAACATTTGATGAGAGTCATTATAGTGGGGGACTGAATACAAGTGTCTTCTGATTACAGACCTTCCATTAAAAGTTCCCACCAGTGTGCCTTTCCATAGAGAAGCGTCAATGGGATTAAAATCTCAATTCACCCCAGTCAATTCTCCAGTAACACGATTTCATTAGAGGCAGGCAGGGAGGAAAATGGACTAGAAAGCACTGAAACAGCTGGTGTATAAATTATAAAGTGTACTTTCTACTAAGTGAACACACCTTCCGCTCAGCCACATTACTAATTAATGTGTAGGGTAGCCGATTTTATGTAAATCGTATTCTTCCTCTCTCCTGTGCTTTGGTTAACAACAGGTTCTTCTAAATCTTGGAAAAAGAGAGATTATGCAGGGCTATCATCATATGAAAATAACGTATTAACATACTGCCTGTGAACTGTATCCAATCAGTTCCTTTTCACTGGCGTGTGTACAAAACAATTAAAATCAAATTTATATTGCACTTCTTTAATATATTCTGGCATTAATATAATCAACGAACAAGTGTTAAAAAGTCTTACAGGCCTATTCTGGTTTAAAACGATATGTTTGTTCTCAGGGTTGGTGGATATTTTCATCTTTTTTAAAAGGACACTGAAAAGTTCTAACCGTACGAACGTGACTCCGACAGCCATCAGTTCGTGTGGAGTCTGCCTCATTTTAATGACAGACGGTTGTGTTGATTTTTTCATGTGGTGCCTTTACTCCTAGACTCTGTCAGCTGCTCTCCATGTTACCTACAGCATATTTGTTTTTAATTTTTGGATGTTGCTGAATAATGGCTCATAACAGGTACAAGACCAATGAATTACCTGGGTGACCCACAGGCTGGATGTGCTGCCAGCTGTTCTGGTGTCAGGCAGACACACACACCCGCACACCCAGGAGCAGGCTCTGTTTGCATGCCAACCAAGCCCCAGTATTTCACCGAGAGACCAAAGGATGGCTCACATGCCATCAGTATATCCTTATTTTCCACATTTCATGTTCTAAGGCTACATTTTCCCTGTCTGTTTTCCTTGCCGCTTTTAGCATACTCTCATTAAGATCAGATGAGAAGAACTGAGATATTTTGTTACTCCTCTCAGTGGAGCAGGCTAGATCTCAGAAATCAGCAGATTGGTGGGAGAAACATGTTTTTGTCAGTCACAGGGCTGGAATGACTATCAAGATATTATTTGTTCAGTCCTTAACCATATCTGCATCTCCCCAGGACCAGTCTCCTTTCAAGCACCTCCACCAGCAGGGACTCCACACCTTCTTGGGCAGTCTTTCTCAGAGCTTCTCCAGCTCTACTGTTCCTCAGTGTCTCTAACTGCAGGTAAGCCCATTTCTTGTCCTGTTCACTAAGGACACAGAAGAGATCATCTCTTCCTTGAATCTGCCTTTAACTTCTTTCAAGTCTATATCCTCCCTCAAACACATACACAGACTCCCCTCCTCTGGCGGTGCTGACCCTGCCTGCAAAGACACATTCCTCTGAGGAGAGCAGAAAAGAACCTATTTCCTAGGAGAAATAAATGAGATCCCCATAGCAGTTCTGAGCCTTTTTCTAAATCAAAACTACTCTTTATGCCAAGAGGCAATTGGAAATAGAGACTTTGTGTGTACACGTGCGTAAGCAGGGTAGTGCTGCAGAATCCTAGAGTGTTACAGCCCTGTGACCTGCTCTTGCTTTTATGATGAGAATTCTTTTTCTTTAACAGTGTTGAATCTTATTATTTTGTAAGCGAAATGGCAAAAGTCTGTGCATGCTCCCTCCTTGACCATTGCACTTGTACAGAATTAATTTCTCTGGTGCCTTTCCAGATGTGGGAAATGTGCTGTTGAAGTCAGTGATCATGCTGCTAGGGTTTGGACCATGGAACTGAGTCCATAAAATCCTTTCTGCAGCATATGGATTCTTTACAGTATGAGGGAAGGAAATTGAGACAGTTTGTCCACTGGAAACTAAGCTGAGACCATAAGCTCACTTCAGTTTGGACCAGAGGATAGTAATAAACTATGGATGAAATGTCAGTGCCTTTCCATTAAGTGACCCCATGTCATCCTTATTTATGACTTCCTAGCAACGAGTTTAGCCAGATGGCCTACGTGATTGGCATAATTCCATTTTGAAACTGCAGATCTGAATTCTTGAAAGTATAAATGGTTGTGCATTTAAATATCGAACCTGTCAGAAGAGAAACTGTAGGATACTTTTAGGTTATTGTGTTTGTGACAAAAACAAGCCATGTGGAAAAGCATGAATTAGGAAATTTGTACCAAAACTCATTACCAAAATTGGCTTTTTAGACTTGTGACATTTCTTTTTCCTCCTCAGCCTTTGGCAGCAAAGCTGTGAAATGAAGGTGGGAGAAGAATGCAGAGGAGAGAAAACAAAGTGAGGATTCATTGCTAAGTACTTTCTTTCTGTTCCTCATTTCCCATTAAATGACTGGGAGTGCAACCAAGTCAAGTAACTGACTGATGGCAAACCTCATACTAAGCACTAGGTCAGACCTTCTACAGCTTTTCCCTCCTTGATGGTGTTGATGGCATAAGTGGTACCTGCAGACTGGCCTTCATCCATGAGGCTGAGGACAGGATCATCTGTAGTTGTTTATAGGAACAGAGACAGTGCAAGTTCTGCCCTCGGAGTGGTGGAAGCCTATTAACTGGGGCCACTTTAGTGTCAGTAGGAAGTGAACATGGCCAAGAAGGTCACTACACAGAGACACAAATTACAGTAGGTATCTTCCTTCTCTGATTGCTCAGCACTTGAGGCAAATGTACTCTACCCCATTCCCTTGAGTTCTAACTCACTGTCAGACCCTTCTCCACTGGCTGATGGACAGCTTGGTGCCACTCTCTTCAGTCTGACGTGACTTGGTAGTGCTGTCATGGTGCTCTAACTACTCGCTAAAGGAAAGAGTATAGAGCAGCACACTGGTACTCGGGTTTGTTTTTCCACTTACAGAATCAGAACAAATGTTCTGTTTTCCTTTCAGAAACCCTTTGCTGATGAACCATAGACAAATAGGGTTGGTCAGAGTACCAAAAGGGATAGGCTGACCCACATCCTCTGCCTTCTGGCACTGGTGGCAAAAATTCTACAGACCTTAAAAGTGAGCAACAAAAATGCCAGGAGTCTCTGAAGGTAAACCTCCAAATGACTCAACAGGGTGTAAAAATGACTTATCTGGTCATTTGCTGTGTTACTGTTTTTGGAGGGGACATACGTACGTGACAATAAGTTGCAGTTATGATTTTCTAGGCAGACCAAAAAGTGGTTAGAAAGGAGAAAAGAAGCTCCTTTTAATTTGGGTGGTGTTATCAGGAAGATCGAAAGCTGATGAGTAGATTCCTCAGTGATTCAGGAGTTGAACATCTTCAATCAAGGAGATTCTTGCATTCCTGTAATTTTTGTAAGGTTTTTTTACAAGTGCTTTTTTGTTGCTGTATTATTTTTATCAGTGTTTGCTAAATTCATGGGAAATTATCCCATTCATCTCCACTGGATACTGCGTAAGACCCAAAATGAGAGGCACATCCATGGAGTTTGTTAGAATTCAGTATGTAATTTTGTTTTGTGCTAAAGAAAATGAAAAAGATGGTTGTAGTTACATTTTAATTACATGAATTGAATACCCACATTGTCTAGGACCTAGAATATCTCCAGCATGATGGAAGACAGCAAAAGAATGGGATTAGAGCAGATAAGAGGAAAAGATTTCAGGCCTAAATAGTGACACAGAGAGGATAACCAATCATAACAAAACCAATGGTTGAAGTTGTCTACCTTTGGGGGATGTTTAGTTTCTTAGCACAAATTGCCTGTAATAGATTTTAATTTCTGCATGCATTCTGTAATTATTTTTGTTTCTATGTAACTGTGGAATTGAGTGTTTTGCTTCTGCTGTTATCAGGCCACTTCTGAAAATTAAGTGCATCTCAGAGAATGGCAATATTATTATTATTCAAAGGCTACAGGTTTGGGCTTAGGCAATTATATAAACATTGTCTTAGTGCCAGTCAGGAAAAACGCTCTGCAGAACAGCTGGAACTCTTGAATTAGTTAGACTTCTCATCTCCTCCTTTGAATGCCACCCTGCAAATGGGCCACCACCTGCCCAAAACCACACCAAAAGTCCCCCACCACTGTACATCCAGGTCTCCCTGCAGCTGTCCAGCTGAGTGGTGCTCTGCAATGGACAGTGTTGCTCCTCTAATTACTGAGTACAAGCTTATATATATACAGTTTGCAAACTTTATATGATGTGACCACAAGAGTCAACTGACTCATGTCACAAAAAGTGTAAAATCTACTGTAAGCAGCATTGCTTCCCTCAGGGAAGTAAGTATAGTTTTTGTGGCCTAACCTCACAGGCATCAGAGGCTGACTTCCCATTTCTATCACATCTAGGAGCATAATTTATATGAAAGCAGCTGGAGACAAAAGGCATGCTGGAAAAAACAAAAACAAAAAGAGAAAATTTAATGATACTAAATTTATCAATACTATCATCTTTTTTTTTATTATTTTTTTTTATTTTTTTACTTTTCCCCTCCTTAATTACTCTTCATGAGAATAAATGGTTTCTCTTTTCAGCTCTGAAGTGAAGACTCGCTTGGGAAGAAGAAAAGGCACAGAATTTTGAGCTGGCCCGCTAAATGAAGGTGAGTGTTGTCCTATGTATGCACTAATGAGAGCAAAGCTAAATGATGCCCAAATTTCATTGCAAAAGCAAAACAGTGTTACGTCAGCCAAAGCCTTCTTGACTTTTATGAAGGTGGAGATCTTTTATCCTTTTGTCTGTTTTCTTACTTCTTGGTAAACAGGCATGTATAAACAGGGAAGGGGTGGCATTAAAATCCTCTGGTTTGAGGCTCCCCTGGCTACACCCTGTGTGTGTGGTACTCAAAAGGGCAAATGTGTCCCACAGGGAGAAGGAATATTCAGCGTTCTACAAATGACTTTGAACCAGCTGCACATCACACAACCACCCTGCTGAGCCACTGGATCTAGGTACTCTTGCTGGGACAAGTTCATCCACGACTGTATTCGGAGCTGCTTAATTGAGCCTCATTACTTCAATTTCCTACTGACACTGTGCACCCTGTGAGGTGCTGCTCAGGCATGCACCAGGGGCAGGGGGTTGGAGCAGCTGCCGTTCCTTACATGGAAGTAGTAGAGGTTGAGCGATAATAGTGCCCAAACACAGCAATATTGCCTCCATGGTTGGTACCACTTAGAAGGAGGAACAAGCTGCTAATTTGACCCCTTAGACAGAGGACACTCCTGCCATTGCAGTCCTCTTCTCTGCTGGGCTTTTTGCCATAGAGGATGGTGCACTCCTGGCAAACTGCCACCCCTTTTGGATCTCTGGCAATCTGTATGTTTGTGCCCTTGGTAAGAAGGCTCATGCTTGGAAGTAGCTCAGCTGAAATATCCCAAAGAGGAGTGTTTCCTTATTTTAACAGGTAAGATGAGCCATCAGCTTTTTCCTTATTCAGGTTGTGCAACCTGCACCTCCAAGGTCAGTCAAGCATCTCTCTGAAGCCTCCAGCTCCAACTCTTTTGTTTCTTCAAGCATGCAAGCTCACAGGTAGACATAGCCTTCCGGTTCATTCCCAGTCCTGTGGAAGTCCTTCATCCCTGCTGAGAGCTTTGTTTCTATGAATAGTCTTGTTTCCTTCCAGACACTCTTCCAGTTCTTTGATGTATTGTCTTCAGTTTTCATTGTTAAATGGACCCATTGTGGACCTTTGCTCCCACAGGTAAATATGCAGTATCTCCCACTTAATGTCAATGTTTCCAGAGTACCACAAAAGCTGTTAGAGGAATTAATCACTTTTTGATTTCCATGGGACAGTAGACAACATGTGAGAGAGAACTTAGGCAATGATATCTGTTATTATCACCCTTCTGAAACTCACCACTGCTGAGTGAAAATGAGCTTTGTGAAGGTAATGAATCACTGGTCACCACATGTGTTCCCTCAGTATAACATTAAGGATAAAACTCATCACTTTGAACAGCATCAACATGGTCTTGTGTACCACCAATTCTCACTCACCCATTTCTTTCAGGGGAGATGAAAGAGGTATCTGTTTACCCACGATACCCTGGGTTTGCATTTCACCACTCCCAGTGCAAGTAATGATTTGCTGGACAACCACCAGACTAGCCAGACACGGACTTTCTGTGCTGCTAGGTAGCATGGAGCTATAGTAGCTCTGCACATTGAGTGAGAAGTCAGATAAATTATAACACCCAGTATCACAGCAGTAAAAATGACAAAAATAAATACCACAGTATTTTAGTAGAGTTCTTTGCTGCTGCCTTTAGACAAATAGTGTGCAATCAATTCATAGAATAAAAAATATCAGAATACCCGTTATACCAGAATGTTGTATTGCCCCCCAGAAAACCCAACATAAGTTCCCCCAGAGGGCATTTTAGAATTGGTGAGGGATAAATTCAGATAAATGGTGGTGTCCATTGTGTTAGACCCCACACACTGAATACTTGGCAACTCGGAGACCAAAAGATGTGCAAGAGCCATGTTTGTGAGCGGACTTTTCTTGTTTGGCAGTACCTGAGAGCATAACTAAGCTGGACAAGGAATTTCAGTCTGGGTCTGTCTTCTCTGCTTATGTGTATGTAAAGGCGCCCAGGTGATTTTCTTGGCACAGGGTTTGCAAGCACGTAGCTGCTGCATCCTGTCACTGGAGACTAAGAAGCTGTGGCAGGTCATCACAAAAAGAATTAGCTCATGTATTTTGACAGGTGAAGCAAAATAAAATGAAATAATTTGACAGGAAGTGAAGCCAAAATGTAACAAAGGAATAGACTTGAAGGAATATCAGGTTACCAGAGGGGAAAACAACACAAGGATGAGAAATGTATAAACAAATAAAGATAGATATTTTTATAAATCTGTTTCAACCTCAGTTGTTTGACTAGCTCAGAATTCTTTGTCTCTTGGCCTGTTTGGGTAAGGCACTGCTACTGTCACAGTAAACACTTCCACTTCCTAACACAAAGTAAGGGAACTCCAAGATCTCTTGCCAAGATTTCTTTCAAATCTGAACTGAGTGTGAAGCATGAAATAAGAAGGTCCACTTGAGTTTGGAGAGAGTCTAAAATAAGAGCTCTAGGAATTGGAAGCTGCTCTATTAGTTTCATTTCAGGCCCACGGACTGCATAGGTTTGTGGCCAAGAAACTGCCAATTGTGACTGCTATTCCCTAAGGGAAGAAAGAGAAATGCTATATGGGGCACAAAAGCAACAGTGGATTTCTTAGCATATGGGCTTTTCCAGTGTGAGCTCAGCTAGCTTTCTGCTCTAAGAAAACAAGAGAGAGCTTTGCAACTAGTATTACCAAGTGGCTAGAGACTTTCTTGACACTGTGGTGCTAGAAAAAACATAGACAAGCAAAGGAGAAAATTTATCCAAAATTATAGCAAAGAAATGCATTAGCAAAAGAAAAAAAATTATAAACTACACAGGAAGCATGGAAAGCAACAGTGGGGTTTTCTCATTAAAGATGCTGACAACATGAAAGTAGAAAAGGCAACATGTCAATACAGCTGTAGCTGGTCACAGAAGTGAATAGCTGGCCTGTTTCTGAGGACCACTGTTGTGATCCTAGGGAACAGTGTACAGATGTGTGGCAGTACCCAGCCTGTTCAGGTTATACCAGCCTGCAAGCCTCCAGCCAAACAGCCTGCCATTCAGTGGTACATATTCCTCGGCTGCACACAGCACACACAGGCCATCTGTGAGAAAACAGGATACCCTCCTGTGCCTGGGCAGTGGCAGTGACACCACCCAGGGACTGACAGACCACAAGCTAGCATGCAGCAAGCTTCCAGAGGGCAGGGGATATAGCAGTAGAGGAGCTGTGAGATTTGGTTTTGATACCTTGATACCCAGAGCCCCAGCAGTTTGCCTGAAGAAGCACAGTCTCATGTGTCAGTGGGTCTAAAACATACAGGAGCCGGGATCTCCAGTATGAGAGTAGGTAAGAAGAGTATGTGTCATGGAGGTAGCTGAAGAGATTATGGGAAAGTGAAAATAGAGTTTAATGCTGTATGTATTTAGGCAGGTGAAAGTGTGATTTGGAGACCTGGGCAAAGGACTTCTGTGAATAGGTTTGTTTTCTTTCAGAGAGTGTTTTATAATCTGAAAATCTGAGTGGTTTGTTCTGAAAATATTACGTATTAAGCACTTTGTTGTTATAACTGTTGTTTAGACTTTGTTATGAATGCATATGAAAAAATCCACTTGTTATCTACTTTATTTGGATGAATTGTTATCTGACATTAACAGGAAATTTAGGCAGATTCCTGCAGGAGTCATCCCTTGCTGTAAGTGTGCAGTCTTATTAATCACTTTAAAATGTTTTGTGGCTCTCAGAGTTGCCAAGATCTCTTTTAAACCTGAACTGAGTGTGAAGCAATGACGTAAGAAGGTTCACTTGAGCTTGGAGAGTCTAAAACAACAGCTCTAGGAATTGCAAACTGCTCTACTGCTCTACTAGTCTCATTTCAGGCCTACGGACTGCATAGGTTTGTGGCCAAGAAACAGACAAAATGCCACAGAAGGAACACTTTCATTTGGGATTTGCCACAACAATGTGGCTGGTGCCAAAAGTGGTGTGATGGGAGGTAAGGAAAGCCCAAAGCCAGGTGCTGTGACAATTATCACACACACCCAGCATGGATGTGTGGCTCTTCTGCTGGTGTTACTCACACAGGTGGCCCAGACAGCAGTGCTCCAGCCCTGCTTGCCTACTTTCCCGGCTCAGTAGCCTCTTGCCCAGTAGCTTTTCCCAACAGCACATTTCTAACAGCAGCACAGACTTCAGGGTTGGAGCTATGAGCCAGTTTGCAAGTGGGGAGAGCAGAGACCTGTGGGAATGCAACACTGATAGCAAAAGGAGCATCCTCTGACAGGTGGGTGACTCTGAGTCAGACTTACCAAAGCAAAGGCTTGTGGAAATGGGTCACTTCAAGGAAGCAGTAATGAGTCAGTTTTTGCCAACAGCTGACTAAATTTATACCTGTGTGTGCAATCTAATTTGAGCTACTGCTGGCCAGTAATAACGTGGAGATGGGAGAAGAGGGCATTTCTATCAGTGTCCTGGTTTCAGCCAGGATAAACTAACATTAGAAGTGATTTCAAAAATAACTTTACTGTGGAACTTGCCTGACACAAACTTCAGTCTCACCCTGATGTGGAGACACAAGGCGCCGCATAGCTTCAGGGAAATAAACAACCAGCTGCCCTTAAGCCCATTCAACATGAAAGGACTTTGCCATTCTTCCTTGAACAACAAGACACTGAAGAAAAGGATGACGACAAGATAAAGTATTATAAAAATATCCTCTTTCAGGACCTGTTGTCATAGCTTGACTCAGCTATGAGAGAAGTACCCTTGATATTATTTCTGAGTTCAAATGTTAGACATTTATCAGAGATGTTGGTGTGGAATACTTATGAGTCAGGGGGAAGATACTACTTAGCTTGCCTCAAACTTTAGGCCAACAGTCTATCCAACTCTGTTCTTGCAATCCAGCCAGGGCAAGTCTTGTTCCCGACACAGGGATCTACCCAACCGTTGCACCTATATGCAGATTGGTAAGCTAGAAAAGCAAAAAGTGTAGGAATTTCAGATTTAACCTGACTTCTCTGCTCTGCTATTTAAGGATCAGAGTGTCCATCACATCCTCCATTTAGGCAGAAAATTAATGGTTGATTTTGCAACCATTCTTGTAAATAGGCTTCTTTGTTTTTACAGAATAATATATCTTGCAAAGAAATGAAAAGTGAGAAAATAGAAATGTATCAGGTCCACAGTTTCAGATACTCTAAGTGAGCTTTTGCTGTGTGGGAGCCATAGAAACACACAGGCTTTTCTTCCTCACCAGGAGAGCTATTCAGCCGGAAGCTAGGCTGATTTCAAACCAGTTTTTGCCAAAGACTGCTGGTACCTCCAACCGAGATCTGCCGGAGGGTGCAGGCTTAATTATAAAGTATCTTCCCTACAGCTGCAGAACACTAATCCTGATTCACCAGAGTCCAGTGCCTTTGTTTGGTTATAGAGACTATTTTTTGGATAGTTCAGAGTTAATCAAAACCTGATCTACCCATACAATGGACATACAGTACTCTTGGAATACGTTTTATGCTCTTAATGGGCATAGTCAGGACAGCTTTTATTTTTGGCATGCCTGTCTACAAGCCTATCATTCAGTTTAACTGAGTTCAGTTCAGCACTGTGTTGCTATTTCAACAGAACATGAGGTCTTACCAAACCACGTGTAAATTGTGTAAAGCAGGAAGCAGTTTTTCTTCCAAGGGAAGAACATTGTGTGGCAACAGTCACCTAATGAATTCCTTCCAGTAGCACCATGTTGTCAACACAGACGCACTCTTGTACCTGGTTGCATTGATCAGTTACTCTGCTGGACAGCGGTTTCACCTAAATCAGCAGCGTCAGGAAAAGTTGGACTGTCCTGTTGATGAAGAGTGAGAGGCAGATTGTACTCTGTGCTAGCCAGGATCCAACTATTCATTCTTCAGTGGAGAAATAGTTCCCATCTCTCACTCAGTTGACAGCCATTACCTGCACACATTCCAGAGTTGTATGAATTGTAAGGTCTCTGGCCCTGAAAGTGTATTTCAACTTTTGGAAAAGACTTAAGACTAAATTAGGCACCACAGTGAAAGAATTCAGTTTTTCCAGAAATCACTGTGACGTCTGTAACACCCCTACAAAAAGACAAAGATACCATTTAAAGTTGAGAAACTTTTTGAGACTCGAATGTGACTGAACTGAGGAGAAAAAGAACATCCTTTTTTTTCCAGAAGTTTTCAGGATTCTTTCCTCATTCTCTTACCATAAGTGTTGAACAAACCAGTGTAGTATGTGTTTTGTTTAGTGTACTGTAGATATGTCATAAATCTAATTAAAATCTGAAACCATTGCTTTTTTATTATTTGTAATATCATAAAAGAACACAGTATCATAAATGAAAGTGATTTGATCTTGAAGTTCTTCAGGTCAAACCCAGGACAGGCGGGTCCTGAATCATTTGGGAATTTTGAATTAAAACATAGGATAGGTATTTTTTATTTAAAAAAATAGTTCCCATAATTGTAGGCACTGTGGCCATTATAAAGGAGAATGAATTTTGGTATGAAAGTAGCAGAATAGAACACGGAGTATTCTGCAAAAATACCCTGGAATAATATTAAAAGATTAAAATCTGTACATCAGAATTGCTTTTTCCCCCTCAATCCACGTGGTAGTTTTCAGGCCTAAGAAAGCTATGAGAAACTTCAACACAAGGTAGGTAAAGCTTCTTTTTGGAAATGTAAGGCCTCTCTTGTATTTATATTAAAACCTTTTTACACTACTGTAATATAAAGAGTTTTTAAGTTTGTCTAGTACAACCAAGAGGTTGATAGCTTCTTTTCTCCACTCATCTACGTTTAGGGATCACTGTGGTTTTAATGAAGCAGAATATTCCAAATACTAATGGATCTTAAATTGCTTACTCTTACCAAGAGGTACTCCAAATAGCACATTTGCCTCAAGTGATATAAAATGATGAGTTAATTCATGTACTTGTGTCAATTGCTACAAGATACTGAGAATTAGCTGCATTAGTGATATGCTGCTACATTTTTTTATTTTTTTTTTTTGCTTTACATATGTACAGGAAAGTGCACGGGAATGGAGATCGATTTAACCCCTGTGGCACATGGGAAGGGAGAAATTTGGTGGATGTCCTACAAATGTCATTGACAAGGTTAGTAAGATCTTTTGCTTTGCATTCTCTTGCTATTCTGTATAATTATGCTTGAGGTAATTAAGATTTCTAGAGCAGCCAGTGGCAGCAAAATTAGCCAAGAAGGGTTTGTCTTCAGGACAGCCACATCAAATGGAGCTTGAAAATTCCTCCCAGTGACTTGCACCAGAGCAGTGCTCAAATTGCTTCAAGAACCCCTTCTCTGTTTGGACTCCCAAACCCACCTGTCCTGCAGGAGCCTGCAAAAGCAAGAAAAATGTGGGGACAGATGCATACCCCTGCTATCCCAAACTTCCCTGGAGATCAAGGGCCAGTGCACAGTGTGATTCACCAGCCTCCAGGTTCCTCTGAAGTAGCACAGAGCAACAGGTGGCAGCTGTTAATGTGCTGAATGTGCCTTCCCCCTGTGTCCGGCCATGGAAAACAAAGCGAGCAAG